TCAGCAGGTGCTTATAAATTGTTTGATCCTGTGAAGAGGAGCTTTGCTATTGGCAAGGATGTTGTGTTTGATGAGTTGCAGATCTGGGATTGGAGAGTTCCAGATAAGATCAATGTGAGACAGGTTCATATGAATTCTAAAGATGATTCTGAGATGATTATTGAGAACCAGCAGTTGGTTAACAACAATGATGAAGTGATAACTCAAGTTGAGAGGTCTCAAAGAGTCAGATAGCCTTCCACAAGACTGACTGGCTATGAGGTGTATGATGATTCAGAGATAAATGAAGCTGGTGAGTTATTACATCTGGCTTTACAAGTTGAGTGTGAAGCTCTTGACTGGCAGGATGCTTTGACAAAACCTGAATGGAAGAATGCAATGAAAGCGGAGATCACTGCAATAGAGAAAAATTCTACTTGGGAACTAGTTACATTGCCATCGGATAAGAAACCTATTAGTGTGAAATGGGTTTTTAAAACCAAGTTCAGACCTGATGGTTCAATATTAAAGTACAAGGTCAGGTTGATGGCTAGAGGCTTCTTGCAAAAGGAAGGCCTAGATTACTTTGAATTATTTGCTTCTGTGGCCAGAATTGAAACAATAAGACTTGTTGTGGCATTAGCTTGTAATAAAGGTTGGAGTATGGCTCAACTTGATGTGAAATATGCATTCCTCAATGTGAAGTCTATGTTACTTAGCCACCAGGTTTTGTGCAGCATGGACCTGAGGATAAAGTACTTAGACTGAGGAAAGCGTTATATGGGTTAAAACAAGCTCCAAGAGCTTGGAATAAGAAGATAAATTCCTACTTAGAGATGATTGGCTTCAGGATATGTGTAAGTGAACATGGAGTATATGTCAGAAGATCACAAAATGATATAGTAGTGTTGAGCTTGTATAGAGATAACCTTTTGGTAGTAAGTAACTCTCCTGAAAAGATTGAAGCCTTTAAAAGCCAGATGCAGCAAGAATTTGACATGACTGATCTAAGTCAACTTGCTTATTTTCTAGGGATGGAGTTCTGTTTTGAAGATAGTGGAATCTTCATAAATCAGAACAAATATATTGTTGATGTACTTGAAAGATTTCAAATGACAACATGCAATCACGCAAACACTCCTATGGATCCCAAAATGAAACTGGGATTGTGTGAAGAAGAGGAGGATGATAATGTCAGTTTATTCAGGAGTATGGTTAGTTCCTTAAGGTTTATTTGCAATACTAGACCTGATATTGCCTTCAGTGTTGGTATATGCAGACTCCTAAGCACTCTCATTATATAGCTGCTAAAAGGATCCTAAGATACCTTAAGGGTACTGCAGATTTGGGAATCTGGTATCCTAAAAATATACTGTCTGAGAATGAAGGTCTAGGGGGTTTCCCAGATTCAGATTGGAAGGGTGACACTGAAGAAAGAAAGAGTACTACATGTTATGCATTTAGGCTCAATGGAGCTACGATATCCTAGAGTTCTAGAAAGCAACCAAAGGTGTCCTTGTCCACATGTGAGGCAGAATATGTGGTTGCAGCATATGCAGCTTGTCAAGGAGTATGGTTGAGAGCATTATTGGGTGAGATCATTGGCAAAGAGCAGGAGGCTTTTCAACTTCTAGTTGATAATAAATCAGCTATTAATCTTGCATAGAATCCGGTTGCTCATGGGAGGAGCAAGCATATAGAACCTAAGTATCATTGGCTAAGGGAAAAGGTCAAGGGAGGGATACTTGTTCTGATATATTGCAGCAGTGATGATCAAGTTTTAGACATCTTTACTAAAGCACTTCAGCATAATAAATTCAGAGATTTTCGAGACAGGCTTGGAGTTCAAGCTATTAGCTGATGAAGTTTGTGTAGAAGTTTGAATTAGGGGGGAATGATGAAATGTGTAATTCAAATGTGCTTTTAATATTGTGTGTGCAGGTGTAGTGAGTATAGTGCACGTGACTACTCCCATATAAAGGGTAGTACACATATGATGTATGTGTGGAGTTCAATACTGAATAAAAATTCTTTTCCCTCTTCCTCCTTATCAGACAGTTAGTTAGCATTCTAACTACCAGTGTTCTATCATATTCTTCGTCTTCCCATTCTCTATGAGCTGATACACGACGAGTTCTGGCAAATTGAGCGACAACGGAGGCTAATTTCATGACGATTTAGGTGGTTGTTGTGTGTTGATTAGGATTAGGCATTGTTGGACAGTGGTGGGGTTGTTGGGACCATGGTAGAGGATGGTGGATGGTGCAAGGAAAGCTGGGTATGGGGGAGTTTCGTCCAGGGGGAGGGTTGGGGGATGGAATGATAGGGGTGAGGGTTGCCTTTGCGCTCAAGACAATGGTAGAGTGGTGGGGGTTGTAATATCAAGGGCGGTGGTGGCCTAATGGTGGCGCGGTCACTATCGGCCGATGGCAGCCACTTTAATTTGTCACTGTCAATTGGACAATGGGAGGCGGAAAGCGATGGTCATTGGCAGAGATTGTGTGTCACTTGTCACCGAGGCTGTTGTAAGTGTAACTTGTCGGTGGTGGTCACTTTCATCGGCATGATTACTGTTGTTGGCGGTAACGCTGGTCACTGTTCAAGTGGCCACAGAGACATTGGACACTGCAAGATGGAGTAATTCTGAAATTGGTCACTGTAACGGATCAACTGGATTTAATAAGAAGACTGTAATAATGTCTTTAGTTTCTTCGTCTCATTTTTGGAAATTAAAAAAATCTTTATTGTCCAATAGTTATTTTTTAGTAATATTGTTGTCCTAATCCTTTTTTATTTAAAGTTCTACTGTCTTAGGTGTATTGCCTATATATTTCTGAAACTTTACAAATGTCACCATTGGGCCGATTGAGTCACCGTGATTTACTAATTCACCATTCTATCGGATTGGTGCGGGGGCTCCTGAGGTGGGAGATTCCACCTTTGGAACAATTTTGAATGTCTACAAATGTTTAAGTATATTTAGACTTTCAAGTATTCTCATTAATGTAAAAACAATTGTTGTGGATTATTAGCAATAGATGTAAGGCGAGGAAACGGTCCAGCCCAGCTGGTCGCCGACTCACTCTACCTTATAAGAGGTCCCGGGTTCAATTCTCAATGGAGTGAGTTTAATCCTAGTTTGTCCTAGGCCCCCAAACCCCCCTCCCCCGATGCCCCCCGGGATTAAAAACAAAAAGCAATATATGTAAGGCTAATTGGAAGGAAAGGGGTGCCGCTACTCCTCTTCGTCGGCTTCATACTCACTCGCAGGCGCATCAAATCTGCCCTTAGGAGCGAGAGAACCCTAGTAGCGAGAAGTTTAAAGGCGCCATCTTTCAATCCGTTTCGATCGTTCGCGACAAATGAGGGAGGATTCGTTGTCTATGGCCTTACTCTTCTCCGGCAACAATGATGTAGTGATCCAAACTATCTGATGGTGATATCAATGCTCAAATATTCTTGGTAGAGGTATGATCTAATTGGATTGTTCTTCTATTCTGGTTGTGTTGATTTTGTTCTATGGCGGTTCTTTCTAGGGCACTGGTGCTCCGAGATGTTTTGTCTCTCTCGATGTGGGGAATTATGTTGGTGTCTCTCCTAACCTTATCTGGTCAGGAATTTCTCTCTACCTTTTTAGAGTGCGTAGACACTAATAGAGCCTGTTCTCCTCCAGAACGACCTTCGTGTCATGAAGAGTTTTATGGAAAGACTTTATTTTAATTTTATGTTTCCATTAGTAGTACTTGTTTTTATTTTAGTGTGAGTAGTTTTGCTTTGAAACTTTGGACATCTGGTGTTCGTTTGATAGACAGTATTTCAGTCCCAGTTCTTTCAGGCTTTAAATTGCATGTTTCGTGTCTAACGAATCAGGTTGATTTGTATGATGTGGTTGATTCTATGTCTATTCATAGAGCTCACTATTGAATCTGTCATCACTGTATGATATTATCTTGTATATTTTCTCGATTTGAATATAAAAGTTGGTCCTATATATTGAAAAGATAAAGCAATAGATGCATATATTGGTCTCTCTCTATTATTTTTTCCTCTCCTTAAAGATTTCAGATTTCAGCATACTTTTCCTATTTCGGCTTCAACTCTAAACAAGGGCTTATTGTATGTAATTGTTTAGAAGAAATAGGGGAAAAGAGGAGGAAAGTAGATGACTTTCAAACCATATCAAACCATTTATTGATGAAATGAGCAAGTAGAATATCAGATTCCTGTGATTCTCGAAATAGGCCAATGACCTATCCGGTTTGATACATTTTTTTCCTTTTTTTGCCTACTTTTATGCAACTCCGAGTTCATGACTAGTAAATACAATCTATGCTTAGTGTTAGCCATGGTGTTTGTGATTGTAATTAAATACTTATATACATTCACTTTCCAGTTTTCCATTAAAACACTAACATAATGACTACTCAGGAATCAAATGATAGTGTTAGCCTAAGAGCGAAGCTAAGTAGAAAACTCCAAACATATGGAGTTCTGCCGAATTGATTGAGCTTTTAAGGTTAAGTGAGGGTTCTTTGTTGTACTTCGGATTGGTTAGTTTTTATCTTTTCTTCTTCTTTGATCTTGTTTCATTCTGCTTCATGTTTTTCCTTTTTTTTGTCTTTCCTTCTGTACTTTTTCTTACTCCTTCACTAACAAAACTTTTTTTTCTAAAGAAACGACTTACATTATTAAAGGAGTGTTTGAATCTACTTCTTAAAACTGTTTCGATTCTTTCAGGGAGTAAAAACAGATGTTCCTTTACAAAAAAACAACAGATGTTAAAGTGTTTGTGTGAAAGTGAAGAAGTACTTATAAGTGCTTCAATTACTCGCACAAACAAGTTTTTAGAAGTTGAGGGAGACTGCATTCTGAAAAACATCACTCTGGCTAGAGGTCATAATTTTGAATCTATTGGAATAAAGGTTGGTCACACTTGTAAATAGATACACTAAATATGTCAGAGTGTTTCCCAAAAAGAATACTTATATCAGTATATGATTTAAACAAATAAAAAATGAATATTTTGACATACTCGGGTATATCATAAATCAATTATTTTCTTTACAAAGTTCCCCTATATTTCCTTCCTTGTCATTTGGTACTAATTGGTTCTAATTGAGGAATATTGCAAAAGTTATTATTGATGTTTCTAACTTATTTAAATATAGACCTCTGTAGCTAATAATGAAAAACTTGTAGCAGAACTTGAAGAAAAACAATATGGGAAAACACTATAGAAGCTAATAATCATAGTCAATACAGAATCCTTATTTTGGGCTTTTGATCATTCATTCAGGCTGAACACTTGGGCATTCAATCATAGAGGTGTTAGCCATGTGACTATGATAGGGCTTCTAACCTTATGGCTTCCATCTTTCCATACCATACTTCCAAATTCAGGACCTGTTTGAGGCACTTTTCTGATAAAAGTTATCTTAAATGACAGTTTCTGCAGTTTCTTAGTGAAGTTGAGTCTCTTCGGCTCAACCTTGATGGTTGCGCCTCTGAACTCCGACACCGCCAAGCGGTAACTTGAGATGGGAGGCCCCACATTGGTAACTGTCCTACGAAAGGTCACGGCCGAAACATTGCTGTCTTCCGGGAAAAGAACCGAGATGGCAGGATAGTTCAAATCCCCGGGTCTTGAGATTGTGTGTTTGCAGCTTCTATTGGAGAATTTTCCAAAAACATGAAGTTGGGAGGGTTCAAGGTCTTGAGTACATAGGAAATCAAAGTAGTCCTGAGGTGTGATGTCATAGATTAGCCCGGGATCAACGGCCTTCAACGGGTTTATATGGCCCGCACCATGATCATAGGCCGTTGATTCTTTCCCAGTAGAAGCATCAATGAGATTCTTGAAGGTATTGTCATGAATGTAAGCTGTTGTCATCAGTGCCGATTTAATTGCCGCTGGGCTCCACTCCGGGTGCTTCGCCTTAAGAAGAGCCGCAACCCCGCTGACGTGTGGACAAGACATCGACGTTCCCGATAGAACGTTGAATTTCGTTCTTCGTGTGTCGGTCGGTAGACTAGACGGGCCGAGATCGCCCGTCCAGCCAGCAAGGATGTTTACTCCAGGAGCCACGAAGTCGGGCTTTAGGATCTCGAGTGATAGGATGTTTGGCCCTCTAGATGAAAATGCAGCCACGATCGGGGCTGGTTTGACTCCGGTTTTGGTTCCTAAGAACTCTAGGGTAGCTGTTGGGTTCCGAGTGGATGACGCGTACTTCTTGATTGCTTTGCCTGCGGTTTCTCCCACGCCAGCTGCGGGGAGGAGGTGGCTATCAGTCACTAGCTCCTCCCCGTTAGCCGCGGTATTTGACAGGATCATTCCTATTCCACCTGCATTCTTCACTACATGGCCCTTTTGAACCCGGGGACTAACTCCGCGGTCACAGATCACTATTTTCCCGGCCACGACACGGCGATCTAATGCGCCCTCCAAGCAGAGGGAGCCTGGTGCCGGACTAGAATTGTTGTTTCCCAAGTAAATCAAAGGGTACTGCTTTTCAACAGAGAGACTCTCTTGACCTTTGTAGAGTGAAGCTCCAATATAAGTTTTCCCCGTCCCAATCCTAATCCTTGCCGGAAAATCTCTGTCCATGGTGGTGGCTCCGACCGTCGCGATCCACGGAGACACATTGGTGAGGGTAATCGGCTGGGGACCGCTATTCCCGGCAGAACACGAGACGAAAACCCCCATCTCCATGGCTCCAAAAGTGGCTGCAGATAAACTGTCCCGGCCATAGGATGAAACTCCGCCGCCCAAGGAGATGGACAGAACATTTACCCCATCAGCCACGGCCCGATCTACGGCGGAGAGGATGTCGGAGCTGAAACACCCTCCGCTCCAGCAGACTTTATAAGCCGCAATTCTCGCGCCGGGGGCCATCCCTACGGCGGTGCCATAAGCGTAGCCGTTCAGATTCGCCCCACGAACCGGCGACCCTGCAACCGTCGCCGCCGTGTGAGTGCCGTGGCCGTCCTGATCTCTCGGCGACTTGTACTCTCCTTGCTCCGAGATCTTACCGGAAGAAGCTTCATACCCTTGGTAAAACACTCTGGCGCCGACCACCTTTCTGTTACAGTGCTGTTTCTTAAAACCGCGGCCGATCTCACATTCGCCCTTCCAGTGAGCTGGAATGGCTTCCATTCCGGTGTCGTTGAAGCTCGGGCATTCGGGCCAAATCCCGGTGTCTAGCACGCCGACCACGACATTGCTGTTCGACAGCTTCCCTGCCCATGGATTCTTGGAATCTTTCCGGTTACTAAGCCGGTTACTAAGCCCGAGAAATAGAGAGCTTCTGGTGGTGTGTAACTGGTAAACGGTCTCCGGGAACACCGCCAAGACGCCGTGTTTCGTTTCCAGCCTCTGCAACTCTTCTTCTGTCAGCTGAGCAGCGACGCCGTGAAATGCGGTCTGGTAGCTGTAAAGAACCCTTTCCTCGCCGGAGCTTTCCCCTGTTTCTTGTTTCTCATACACTACAGATTTCACGAGGGACGAATACCAGTCTCCGTGGCCGCCGGTGAACACCTCCGGCTTAGCTGATTTATCCATTTGGATGATATAAGTTTTCTTTGGTGCGCCATTAATGGTGGCTATGGAAAAGGTGCAGAAAAGGAAAACAGAGAAGGGGAGAAGAATGAATCTCTCCATTGTTAAGCAGGAGAGAGAGTGAGGGTAGAAGAAGATGAGATACCAGTGATCGGTTTTAGTGAGTCGATCGATGACTTTGAGGTTAGAAACGGTCAGTCTCTGTTCCTGAAATTGAGACTGAAATTAATAAAAGCTGCCCAACAATTATAATGAAAAAGAAAGAAGATAAAGCCGCCTTGGCTGTGGCTGAGATCGTGTTTGTTACTTTGTTATCAAAAAAGAAAAGGAAGATAAAATTACATTTGAAGACAGAAATACAGTAAAAAATACTAAAATTGGTAACACTAAAATTGGCTGAATTGATTGATTTTGCTAAAATTTATAAAATTTTGGCTAAAGTGACTGTATTGGCTAATTCTGCCGATTCATGAAAAAATTATATTAAAAATATTTGTTGTTAATAAATTAAATAAAAAAATTACTTGAAAATAGCTAAAATGAAATCTATAATAACTTCAGCCAATACGGTCAGAAAAGTAACGTCAACCTTACTTTTTTCTACTTCTTACAAAATTCAGCGCATAAAATCAAAAGTTACGTGTTTAGTGAAAATGCTAACTGATAAGCGTGATAAACTGAAAAAATGGGTCACCAAATGGCTCCCAATCTCTATAACCAAACCTCTCGATGAAAAATTCTCACTACTCTATAACTATATTTACCCGTATTGGTCGTTGACATTGGAATATAGCGAAATGGTTAACGGCTCTTTGTCCTTACACATGGAAATTTTACTTTTTACATAAATTTTGGATCAGCGCATCATGGAAGATTGAAAAAAGTATGCAATCCATGTTATTCAGCTTTATGAAATCATACATTGACTAGAAATTAGCTAATTATTATGAACTGAAATGAGAATATCTCAAATGCTACAATGTATCCGGTACACATGTGATATGCGAGATAACCACATAAATATTAGCAAATAAATTATACATTTCCTCATTTAAATGAGTTTTTACAATTTTGGTAAGCTTTTCTTTGCAGTGTCAATCACAATGATATAAAACCATTTAAATAAGGAGAGAGATAATTGTGAAGAAAAACTTACTAAAATGGTATAAAACCATTTAAATAAGGAGGGAGATAATTTGTTTGCTAAAATTTATGTGGCTATCTCTCATGTCAGTATGCTACATGTGCAATGTGCACGTTGTAGCATTAGAGATGCTCTAAGTATTATTACGATTACGATGGATGTAATAACTAACATTACCTTCTGATTATTATTTGAAAGGGAAAAGGAGCAAAAATGACCCTAATGTTTTGTTTTAGGAGATATGACCCTAAACTTTTTTTAGGATGAAATAGGTTAGGAATTAAGTTTTTTGAGAATCTAGGCACCTCTTCTACTAACTACGTTTTTTGAGAAACTAGGTTAGGAGATACTATGTTTTGTTTTTTGCAATTGTTTCAACTTTAAAAAAGTGATGTTTTAAAGTGATTTTGGGAAAAGTGATTAATAGTAAAAGTTGGTAGTGTTTGAGAAAAAAGTGATTCTGGAAAAGTAAAAGTTGGTAGTGTTTGGTAAAATAAGTATTTTTTGTGTAATAGAAAAAGTGAGAAGCAGTTTAAAACACTCTTCTACATGCTTCCATCTTTTAGCTTTTAAGTGATTAATTTAAGCAGAAGCTGTCATTTGAAAACACTCTTTTCAACTTTTTTAAGCCAAAAAATGAAAAGCGCTTTTTTAAGCAAACCCAAACACTCCTTACACTAATTGGCTAGTCTAAACTAACGGTTGGGTACTAACCTCCTAACTAATTGGGTACTAACAGCCTTCGTAAGACTTGGAGTACAAATTACAAATGGATCATTTATTTTAAATTTAAATTAAACAAGGCCTACCAACAATAACATGGAAAAAATATTGAAATATATAATAAGTTTTGAATACAATTTATAAATAAATAAAAAAATTGTCCCATAAAATCCGAGAAAAAGGTCACAAATATAAATTGATGCTAGAATTCATAAAATAATAATTGTTTTGATAGAATATGAATGAAACTACGCAACTCCCCTCCCAGGTTATAGCACAAAGATATTCATAATATTTTTAACTTTTAAAGCAGTCTCATACTTCTTGTTTATGCTCTTGTATCTAAGAAAATCAACATTAAAATATGTTATAATATGAAAATATTACACAAATATTACTACTTTAATTTAAACCCCACTAACAAAAATATGACTTTTAGCTCTAACTTACTCCCCATGATGTCATACGTGTTCCATATTAATAGTCACTTTCTCGTAATTCTCGTGACTTTTGGTAATATTTATGTAAAAATCTCTATTAATATCACAACTTCACCGTACTAATATTCCAAATTTCTATTTTAAACCCATGAACCAGCATGGTGAGACTTAAAATCGTATATTTCATTCATCTTACACACAATAATAACTTACGAATATTTTATAAGAATAATATCCAAATTTTTAGTATAATTTTTTTTTCAGAAATTTTCTTTGTGTCAGTCCAGTCCGGTCTAGTGCTCTGACTATGCCCCTACTCTAGTTTTTTGCCATTAAATCTGAACTGTTTATGGATTTTTTTTTCCCGCAAAAGTTATTAAAAAATTAGTGCGAAAGTTTTTTACCCAAAACTACAAATGGATTTTTTTTAAAATGTGTATAAAAGCGATACAATTTTAATTTTGGTCAAGTCGTATACATTTTTTATCTCTGTTGGACATTCTTTTTATTGTTCTTTGTTGGACATTTATTGCTTATAAAATTGGATTTTTTCGATCAATATTTTTATCTGTGTTGTAATTTTAGAAATAATAATTATTGATACAATGAGTTTTTAATAATCATAATTTTTTCTCTGTCTGAAATTGTAACCCTACTCGTGTCAAAAGTTATAAAAGTTGACGGTGATAGTTCATATTTGGGATGATTTTACTTGGACTGTTTTCAGTCCTAGACCAGACCAAATTAAATTTAAACAGACCAAACCAGATCCGACCAACTTACAAATCAGACCAAACCTGACCTAAATTCCATAGTTATAAAATACACAGAGATCAAACATTTATCAGACCAGATCAGACTTAAACAGATCAGACTAGACCATACAAAACCAGTAATTCCAGTCCAAGTAAACATCCTTAATGGTTATGATCACATTTATAACACTTCGAGCAACTAAGCCCGAGAGCTCACATTTCCAAACTAAAAGATACGGATCCAGAGCCTCTACCCTACTTTAGAGTAAGGTAGAGTGTCTTGCTTCCTCCTGGTCGTCCGATCGACAATTCAACGGTCGGAGATCTTGGGCTCCACTTTTTCGCCAATCTCGAGGCCGTGTTGGCCGCTCCCCTCCCGTCCGATGCGCAAGGCACCCTCCTAGTTCGGGTAGAGGATCCCAATCCAAAAGATACATGGACTACATGTTGATGTGATTTTCCCCATATGAATTGAGATAGATCCATCCCAACCACAAATCAATTTAAATCCTATAATAAATCTATCCAGATTTAAGAAGCAAATACAAAACGAAATAAAGACATTAGTTCACGTCTGACCTTATTTGTTTGGTGAGGAAGTGAAGACCTAAAAATCTTTAAAACATGCATGCTACGTCGTTTTGGCTCCTTTTTGTTAAAGATGAAGACAATCCACTCACTTTTAATTTTGTAACAAGCTTATTTACTTAGGCTCATATTAAAACTAACGGTGCCATAAGTGGAGGTGCCTAAATTGTCAAAAAAAAACGTGATTCCCAAGCTATTTCACATTTTCACCCCAAAATAAGTTTAGGGTCATATCTCCTCCTACAACAAAACGTGATTCCTTATTTGAAATAACATCTTATAGTATATGATCATAATAGAAAAAGTGAATATAAACACGACTCGGTAACATGATGAGACAATGTACTTGTACCATTTTAGGAACATTTTTATCGTAAACTTTATTTTAGTACGCAGTAATATTTTTGGAAAGATTTTCTTATTTTCGTCATTGGTGACTTTTATTTTAGCTCAGAAGATCCAAAGTAGACATGAAAATTTCAACGATTCAAACTAGCTCTAAAATATGCTAATCAGAACACACAATTTGTTGGATTATTTCATACTCCATATCACACAAGATAACATAAGAAACACTCAAATAATACTACTAGTAAAATACGGAGTATAAAATAAACATGTAAACGGTATCAGGGGAAACTTTATACGTAGTACAAGAAAAGAAAGATGCAGACCAAACGTGACCATAAAAGTCATATCAGATCACATTTTCTAGTTGAATGGAAGAGGCCCCAAGCCCCCAAGTCTCATATTCGTAATTAAATGGAGTACTCAATATAGGTGAGTATTTGTGGGTATAGAAAGCGTGAAGTTTGGGTTGGTCATTTAGGCCTAATTTGCCCTTTCCAATTTCCTCGTCATTTCAAAAAGCCTATTTAAGAATTGAAACCATGTCTTGCAAATGACACAAACTCTGCAATCTAATCTATTTGTTGGAAATAATGAAGTGTGATGCTCTCTGTTTAAATTTGAAAGGGGTAACGATATTTTATTTTATCTTATCTGAACTAGCCTTTACTCTTTTTATTTTAATGTAATTGTGCACTTAATAATGAGGAAGCTAAAGTGGTTGGTACAATGAATGCTACGCTTAATGCTGAAAGGATAGTTGGGGTTGGGAGTGGTGGCAGGAGTACATGGGAGTTAGTCCGTATTAAGTTAGTCCGATCCGTGGAGCTGTGTTAAACTGAATCATTACGTACCTATCCGATTATTGCACTTGTATGATAGCATGGTAAAACAAATCTCAAATAGGACTACTCTTGGACCGTGTGGATATACACAAAATGTGTATATTGCCTATGTACACAGACAACTTGACATCAAGTTATGCTCATTTTTAAATGAATTGTTTGTGTACACAACTAGGAGGGTTTTGTACAAATTGTGTACGACTTGTGTACATTAAGTATTTTCCTATCAAATACTCCGTATACTTCAAAGTTGCTTTTTGTATATAGATACTCACACTTTGTGTACACGTTTAGTCTGTTGAGTAGATTTATGGAGCCTCATATGACTCGGTATCTCAAATGTGTAATTGTCTTGTGATGAAAAAAATGGATCAAAATAGGCAAAGAGGGGAATTCTATGCA